CGACGATCTGCCGGTGACGAGCTCGCCGCAGAGACGGAGATGGCCTGGGACGACTCGGCCCTCGCCATCACCGTGAATCCGATGGACAGGTTGACGGAACAGGACCAGCATCATCAGAGCCAGCGGGACGAGGACGTGGACGACTCCGGTAGCTCCGATTCCGAGGATGGCTCGTTCCGAGATGATGACCTCGACAGCTCCGACTGTGAGAACGATTGCGATCTCAGCAACGGTCGGCACCGCCATCACAACTCGCCGCACGATCTGGAGTGGGATCATCGTGATGTTTAAATCACCCTACTATCTTTACACTGAGCATTCTCACACATCCCCCCTTTCTTCGCGTGACACTGAGAGGAGTACTGGCCGCGTGCCACTTTCTGTAAAATTTCTCCATTATATATCGTTTCTTCTCGTCGTGCGCACCCGTCTGATGTTTATCGAACACATTTCGAAAATATCTCGTGATGAAGATTCCTTGCGTAGCTATCGGCGGCTTCGCGAATTTAATCTGCGAGAGTAAAGAGTTTCAGATTATCGTTTACGGATCTCTCGTTGAACGCGATTTGCGTCCGAAAGATCGGTTTCTCGAATTTCTCTTCTTGTGCATCAAATATCACGAAAGCGTCGTTAAGGGATTAGAATATTTATTACGCTTTCGAATTTCCAGAATATAGAGTAATAAGATTTAACGTTCTAAGCCGCTCCATACACTGCTCGATCGATTCTATAAACGATTATTAACCCTCTTTACTACGCGAGAGCGTTATCGTATTATCCGTCCCCATCCGTTCACCTTTTCTCGTAGATGACGTTGGTATAATCGATGAAGTAACGAGATATAAAACGGCATTCAGTTAGTACTCGTCTTAAGCGTCAGGAAAAAACTTGTAAGAGTGCGGGACGCTTTATTGAATATAGTTAAAACTCTTTCTACCTATGAACACACGTCGCTGATGTTGGTAGAATCGGAGACACACGCAAGAGATACTTAAAATGTCGTAAAAATATTCTCGATTGGAATATTTACGGCAGTTATTAATTTATATTCTTGACTCTCATCATTGGTAGTAGTAGGACAAGGGAACTTTTTTTTTATACTTCTAACTATTTTTCCTTCTTTTTAATACGGTTATCGCTATTTTATCATTACTAATCGCTGCGACTATATCTAGCCATTTTATCGAAAGTTGTTTTTATTATTATTATTATTATGTTTATTATTACTGTAGGCAGGACGGCCCGGTAGCGTAGTTTTAAATGCGAAACAGAGTGCTGAGCCGACTCTATATTCTTCCTCGTCTTCTCGACTAAACTTTCTTATCTAAGGTCCATTTGATCTCATGAATGTAATTCTCTCGCAATAATCGTGTCTTTCGTATTTTGATCAAAAGCGCTCGTGATACGAGCTGACGTTAATTAATAAACCGGCAGCGAAACGCGCGTAGATACGAAAATAAGCTGTAAGCCAATCGCTTCGGTGTAGCACGTGAATCGGGTTGAGCCTGGGCCATACGATGCTTGCCCAATTTTGCACACTTTTATTTTTTTAAATATCGTTACGCCTTCGATCGTTTTTCTTTTGCACGATGTTCCTTCCTGATCGGTCTGCAGAAGATTAGTAAGGACATTGCCACGCATCTTATGCTAGTGCTTCAACATTTAAGATAATCGGTATAGCATCATATCCATATATGATGCGTAAGCGTGTCACATACAAAAACGGCGCGTTTAAAAACGACGGTTTCGCCAATCGTTTAATCCGTCAATGTTTGGAGAACATGAAATATTCGGCAAGGGGAACAATCCGCGCGCGAGCAGACGCTTCATGCGTTATGTAATTTCCTCTGGTATAAATATTCATTTCTAATTAATTAAAATTATCTGACACGTGAAGGATCGGCTTAAGGGTGGATTATTCATTCCTCGTTTGAGGTTGTTTCAGTTTGTCTATAAGCGTTTGACGAATTAACGGCAGTTAACCGTACGTAGTTTATGTGCGCGCGTCACGCACGTGCTCTACATATATATATATACATATATATATATATATATATATCAGCATCCATTCATTATTCCGTGGCGAGAGTCTCGTCTCGAGTAGTAGACGATTATTCTAAAGTAATGCGCAGCGGCTGGGGGAGCTATCGAGCGTGCTTCTCCCGTTAATATCCCCGACCCAAGACGTGTCGTATCGTGCAATCGCTCTTTTCACAGAGAGAAAACTGATGCTTTTACGTGCCTTTTAAGCAAGTGTAGTACGTTGAATTTGTATTGTCTGCTTTAACAGCGAATTTCAGACGCTGCGTTTACCTCTTTCTGTTTTCTCTTTTCTTCGCAGTATCCCGTCACCATAGACGGGTCAGCCCTGTATTGTTATTAGGAACTTCTCGCGATATCGTAGTTCAGGTGCACAGTGAGCTTGCCATGCAATCGCTATTGCCCGACGCAGGTTTAGCTCTTTTATAGCTACCTAAAAGCGCGTTATAGTGAAAAGTTCCGATTGTATTTTACGGTTTAGAAGTTAAGGACGCGCGTTTACTGGGCGTCGCTCCCGGGCGACGCTCCGTTCGTCTGATGGGCTTTCGAAGCACAATACCTGTCGATGGTCCCGTGTCGGAAAACGCGTCATACACGTGCAATGATCCCGTCGTGGGGTACATTAAACTCTCTTTCTATCTTTCTCTGTCTCTCTTTCTCTTTCGTCATAATGGTGACACGACGGCTGCGCATCCGTTATCGTCGCGAAATAATGAACGGATCCTCGTGTATGTGTGCGTCTCTGTGTTGACATAAATGTAGAATTATACCGAATTGTTCGAATGCGGAGGCACCAGTACCGAAGAACTCGCGTACGGATATATCTATATTCATATAGGGAACTATAATGAACACACAATTTATTTTTCCAACGAGCATATCATATCATTTTTATAAGGGATTTGTCGGAAACGTTTTTTGGGAAGCTTTGCTTCACCAACGAGCGGTCGCGAAACGTCGCGACTTTGTAAGGATTTCTTTCTCGTTCTCGGGAGATAGGTTTCTTTTTCCCCATCTCTCTCTTTCTCTCTCTCTCTCTCCGTTTCCGGAGAGGGTTAAACAATACGCACCCTCTCTTACGCATTTCTCCGACTCGCGCGAAAGCAGATATTTCGATCGAAAATTCGGATTGCTCTAAACGAGAAAGCGGAGCTTGACGGAAAGAACCATCGGAAAGAACAAAAAAGACAAATAGAGGCGTGCATGATCGTTTATCTGTTCCTGATAACACCAGATCGCATATATACACTTATATACATGAAATACCGATGTGTACGCTTGCTTTTGTACTGTCTTTCCTTTCCTAGTGTTTTCTCCTAACGCGATTTTATTACACTGCAACGCGAATTTTATCATAAACGTAATCTCGTATTTTATAAAGATCGTATAGCAACACAGTGAGAAGGTAATCAATAAAAAAAATCAGCCGAGGCACTCGTGACGGACCTCCACCGTGGGGGTTCTCGCAGGATTGAAATCAAGAAGGGATCTGGCCTTGATGAGTGTGTCTAAATTAGCTTACGTAAATGTGTACACATGCGTTTATATGCTTAATCCTCGAGCATAAGTGCACAGTGAATTATACAGTTTGGAAGATATATTTGTGATTCCTATTTCGTTCGACTGTCGTACAAGCGACATCGTAAATAAGCGTACAGGCGCACTCTTCTATCGAGTTTATCATGCGATGTCGATGTAACGAAGTCAGAAGAACGCGTGAAAATCGCGGTGGGAAAAAGGTATCTCGCAGAAAGTAATTTTGCCCGATGACCGTACACGCATGGGGCATCCCTTTATTTACGCGATACAGTTCCCCGTCGGTTTCATCGCTTCTCTCCTATTCTTATCGCCTGGAAGATTCGCCATTCATTTCCCTTCCTTTCTGAAAAAAAGAATATATTTGCTCATGTAAAAAACAGAGTTGGGAAGTAATGGATTACTTGTAATGTCGTTACCCTTAAAATTACTTTTTTCAGTTACAAATGAGCTCTCTCTAACATTTTTTAGAGTGAATGTCCTCTGAAGAATGAAATCTCATTCTTAAAGATTAAAAATTGGATCATTCTTTTTCAAGATTGGCTCAATTTTTACTCTTTATAGTGAGATTCCACTCCAAAGAATTTAGAGAGTAACGTTTCCTTATTTGTAACATTAATGGTAACGCAGTTATTTTTTTGGATAATGAATATAATCGTTACTTTTATCGGTACTTTGTAAACGTACAATGGAATTACGTATAAGTATGTTTCAAAGAAAGAAAGTGTTATGTTTGACCATGTTGTGATTAACTACAATCATACACTGTTAGAAATGTAACCACGAGCTTCCTTTACATGTAAATGATGCTGGTGGTTATGAATGAAATTAAAAGTAATGAATGATTTAACAAAATTAAGTTACAGTAGTTACTTAAATGTAATGAACGTGTACATTAAATTTATGAAATTTAATGTACTTTTAATAAAATTTTATGAAAAGTACATTAAATTTCATAAATTTTCATGAAAAATACATTAAATTTTATGCACGTGTACATAAATATACTTTTTAGTTACAAATACATTAAATTTAATGTAATGTCATGAAATTAAATTCAAATTAAATTCAATTATGTAACTTAAAAGTTAATGAAATTTAAGAACATTTCTAACAGTGTAGTCACTGTAGATCTTATATTGAACTGGTCAATTAATGACCAAGACAATTGGATGCAACTTAAGAAAGGAGTCAGAAAAATTCACTGGAAAAGTAATAATGGAAATTATAATGACTTTTCAGAAAAAAAGAACGGTAACAAGTTACTTTGATAATGTAACTTTTTCCAACCCTGGGAAAATTAAAAAATAACTTTAGTCGTGATACATAAATGGGTCAAAATCAACAACAAGCAACACGTGGCATAAGTTACGTCAAGCTCGAGATGCTTTGTATGTACATGATTTAATATTACGCAAGAAAAAAAAATATATGTAGAGTGATAAGATGATCCTTAATTCGAACGCGATGAAATAAGGGACGCCCATGCGCTTTGCGAACAACTCTTTCGTTATTTAGCGAGATATCGGGAGGTCAAAAGTCTCTTTCGACCGAGAAATCAGGAAATCAATGAAACGAGAAGTGATTCGCAACACACGTGAACCTAATCGGTTGCGCGCATCCGCTCTAAAGATGTGTACTTAATCATTTAATTAAACGAGAAATGAAGGAACGCAGAGAACAAAAACCAACTAGATGATACTATTATATAATATATACATAAAAAAAAATATATCTAAGCTGTTTGCAAATGATGACGATGTAAAGGGGTAAAAGAGGGAAGAGTAAAAGGAAATGAGGGAAAAAAAAAAATAAGAATTTGTAATGTACCATTGTATTTTGTAGGCAGCTAGAGCGTGTACGTATACATATGCACAGATACCCCCGTGTATGTATGTATGTATGTTTACGTGTATAAATATACATACTCTTCCCCCGTCTTCGTCTCACTTATACACACATACGCATACACATACGTGCCGTTCGCCCGAAACGGCCAGAGGAAAATATTTTGGATCTTAAGGGAAGAACGAGAGAGTTCGGAAAAATCGGAGGCTCTGTAACACGTCAAATCTTATCTTCCGAATTTCCGAGAGGAGGACTCCCTCTCGTCTATCACGACAAGGCGAGGGGCATTCTCTTCAGCGCATATTACACGCCCGCCGCCACCGATGCGTATCGACTTTTACAGACACACGTACATCACACGCTCCACGTACATACGGACACCTATCCCGGTGCGACGGCAGTGAAAAACGTTGCATGTATAAACGCGCGATCACGCGCGCGTGTAAATCGAGAAATTATAACGCTTCGCGGAGCGAACGCTCGTGCCATTCGTCCCGTTTATAGTTTGCCGTTTCCTTCCGTAGCGTCGAATGAGAAATATATATAAAAGAAGCAGACGTTAGTCTTGCCGCAGGATTCGGCAATGCGGCAAATTTTTTTCCCCCACGTAATCTGATGGAGCTTTTCACTCGTGTTTACGCGAGAGCTTTTTGAGAGCGCTCGCGCGGATTATTGACGTGTGCTGATAGTTTTCGATAGAACGAATCCAAATTGAGTGTAGGAAGTTCATTAATTTGAAATTGCTGTGTATATTTCGAACGATTCATTTTTTTTTTTCTATTTTGCCCGGGGATATTGGAATCGAATAAGCTAAAAAGTGCATCCAAGTCATAAGAAACATGTAGAGCGTGTATAAATATATTACATATTTCTCATGAGATATCGAGCGATCACTCCAGAACCTCGTTATTATTTCTCGTTATATGCGACACTCTCTTAAAAAGAAAAAAAAAGAAGAAAAAAAGAAAAAGGAAAGAAAAGTACGTGAAGAAATAGCGCGTAATAACGATACGATCGGATGTTAACAATAAAAGATAAATTGCGCGATGACGGTAATGTAATGAGTGAAATAATCAATTACTGATTAGCTAGGCCGTAATGCGGAATATCGTTGCGTGCCGACTAAATTCCCTCCTCATCGCAGATTGATTGTGTGTTAACTAATAAGATTAAGTAACGGTATAGTATATTACAGTTAAGGAATTTAATTATTATGAATAAATAAATAATTAAAAGAAAAAAAAATACTATCTGTACGCTAAGCACACACACGTTTCGAGCCGTAACGTGACGTATGGCTAAGGCAATGTTTACGACTTTACAAGTCTTTAATTTTAACGTGACACACTGAGTTACTCGGCGCGTCTGCACCGCGACGCACAGAAACAGTCAAATTATCTTGTTAACTCTGCAAACTGAAAGATCGTTCAAGACAAAAATGAGAAGTATATTATATAGCAATAGTATATTAATTATACACACAAGTACACGACACAGGATCACGCGCGGCCGCATATACACGCTGCACAGGCTAGGAAAAATGAAATACTATCTATAACGACATTATAAATAACATTAAGACGTCAACTGTATTTGTTTAATAAAGATGTACATTCGAACATGCGAATTGACCATTGCGTAGCCGGCAGGTCAAAGTAATTGATAAATTTTCAACTGATTTGATGGAGACTCCAGAGGAAAATAAACTGTATCTTTCGAGTATAGATTACCGCGTACGCGATATACGATTTTTAAATGACCTGTCGGTTAAAAATGGACATTGGATTATTTCCATTTTTTTTCCTACATCGCCCTTTCACATTTGTCCTAGAAAATGTATGTCCTATTTCCGTTAATCTAATAAATGCTAAACGAATGTTTGAAGAAATGAAACGAGGTATTTATAAATATCAAAGTTTTTATTGATGTATATGTATATTAAATAAAAATTATTTGCACATATACAGCGTGAATAACAGAATTATACAAATATTATATTGCCACGTTTTAAATTAAACAAATAGAAACTAAATTTTCTCGATAATTATTTACAAATATATTGCAGTTGTATTATTGAAACCAAATTGCATGCTACTTTGATTAGGCTACCACATGTAATTCACTAAAGTTTCGATAATTTTACATTTTTGCATTAAAAAATACTTCGAATCATTATATATTTTCAATTAGGAGATTACAAGAAAATTTAGTTTTCAAGTTATACAGGCATTTGTAAATTATATTATTCGTGTAGATTATAACTTCTCATGCATATATTAATAATCTTTAATAACATAAAATTATCTCTTGTATCTCATAATGCAAAATACTACAATAACTTTAACCAGTTCCATTGAGATGCAATAATTACATCTATCATTTTGGTTTGATACATGTTATTACATCATTTATATATAATCATAACAAAATGCAGAAAAGTTATAAAATCTGATCTTCAAGGATATAAAATACCTGTTGTTAAGTCTTTTACATCTTACTTCGTAACATGTGATATAAAAATGAAAAAGTAATATTTAATTTAAATTAATTTGTTTTCGATTTCATAATAAATATTGAAATGATTATACAAAGAAATGATGTAACAAAAAAATGTTTGACAATGTCGAACTGAATTTCAAATTGAATTTTGAGAAATATATCTTACTACAAGTATATTTCTCGTCAAGTAATACTTGTATTTGATACCATACGTTATGTTTTTTGCCGCATATATTTTTATTTTTCTTTTAATTCTTAAAATTTCCATTTTAATTTATTCAAAAGAAAATATTTATGCTTTTGTTTTTGACAATTTCTATTACAAACTTATTAAGTTTTGCGTATCAACTTGTGTCATCGCTTTGAATATTTATAGAAGAATGCACCCCTCATCTCAGTATCAGCAAACAATGATGGTTGCTTCGCCATTATTAGGAGAAAATAATTTTATATTCTCCGCATTCCAATGTAATAACGCTCCTTGACAAACGACACTCCACACGTAAGGAATGAAAAATTCCTCCGGTTGTTCTTCTTCTACATATTTGAACTTCAATTCTGGGAATTTCTACAAACAGTATATACATAATTAAAATTCTCATAAGTGTAAACAGATCATAATGATTTGTAACAATTCCTACGTACTCTTAAACGATCTCTTGGCCATTCTAAAGTTCCTTGCCGTATAGTGGATAATACTTGACTAACACCTAATTGTGATTGATCTTTTTGTTCCAATTTATACGAGAAAAAATTAATTACCTAAAAATTATGTTAAAAAAATTTTCAATTATGACACATATCTATATATGTATATCGATTCAGGATATAATATATGAAATATGAAAATATTATTAATGATTAATAATTTAAAAACGGAAACTTACAGAATCAATATTTTGTACAATATCTTGAAAAGCAGAATGTGTCCTAAATGGTTGAAAGACGTCTTTTTTATATAATAAAGTGTAAATTAAATTCGGATTGTGCGCTAACCTATGGGTTAAACAACTATTTATAATTTCTAGCACCATCCGTAAGACTTCCTCAAGTATAGTCAAGTCTTGAATCTGAAAAGAATATATTTTATCTAATAAATACTACACAAAAAACAATTTACTTATATATGTTAGACTCGATTGCACCAACGTTACTTTGTACAAGACTTCCCTCTCCCTTTTCTGAGAGAAAAAAAGAATTTTAAACCTCATTTATAAAAGATACAGTAACGTTGATGTAATCGGACCTTATATATGTATATATATATATATATATAATCGTATCAATAGTTGTATCAAGAACAACACTATTATTGGAAGGGAGAGTTGTTGACTGTGTTAATTCTAGAATTCTTGCTTCTAACCGTGCATGTTTTTTTGCAAGAGTTTCAAACAGACTTAATAACCTCTGACTAACATAAGGGTGTAAGGATGTGAATTGGGCAGACATGTTTGCTAAGGCTGCCAGACAGTTTGTGTGAAGATATTTGTCCTAATAATGATGAAAAAAATAATAATAAATATTATAATTTGTAAATGTGCTATATCAATGTACACAAAAATTTTATACTTACTCTCATTTTAAACATATTATATTGTATCGTGCGAATCACTACAAGAATTAAAAGACCACCTAATGATATTTCGCTTATGGATCTCTCAGTATACCATGTTACACCTTTAAGCATCTTGAAAAAAATAATATAATTATTATAATCATTTTAATTATTACAGAAATATATAAAATAATGATGCTTACAATTTCGTGTATTCGTTTGTTAAACGTTTCATCTTCGCTTAAAATTAGCAAGATGATAAGAGACATATAAATATGATGGGATGTATTATTTGGCGCATGATATAATATTTGTAATATTGGAGTTACCTGTAAATGTTTCAACGTGAAATTATTAAATATTAGATGTAAAAACAATTATTAAACATGTAATTAAAAAAAAATATGAGTGTTGACAACACTTGCCAGTAGTTGTATGTCTGGCCTTCTCATTATATCCTGTTTTACACTCGAGTTTCTATGTAACAGCATGTAGAGAAGAAGCGTGACTTCGTCTGTATTTGGTATTTTACAAATGGTATTATATAATTTATTTAAATTAAATTTAAAGGTATCAATTGCTTTCCCTTGCGATATAGTATGATCTTCTGTAATAAAAAATATATTTTTATTCGCGACATGCAATATTAATACTCTATATCAGGATGCTTGTAATCAAATTAAATCAGTCCAATGTTCACCTTGCATATCTATAAAAGAGAAAAGCGCGTTCCTATATGGATTTTGTGTAGCAGTACAGTGATTCGTCAGAACCAGTAAAAGCAATAGGGATTGACTAGCGAGCGGAGTTTCCGTATCGCGTTTTTTCTCTTCATCTTCAGCAGTGCCATTATGTGCAACCTGTATATTTTTCGAACTACTGCCTATGCCCATTCTTATTACATTCCACAACCCAGCTGAAACGATGCTTTACATTAATGCTTTGTAAAATGGACCGATTACGTTTTGTGATAGTCATATTTACCAGCAATACTGAATACAATACTACCCCCCGACTGTTGCGTCAGTAATCCCGGGGGAGCGTGCTCCTGTTGAATAAAATTGTGCAACAGTGTACACACCATAGTAGATGCATGTTGATTCAGATGCGCGTGCATTGCTATCCTATATACTGTGCTGTATTCGGCTGCAGTTTGAGAAAATAATTGCACCGAGAGCAACACAAGTAAACAATTAATCGCCTCCAAGTGAACAACATATGTAAATTCACTATAAAAAAATTATAGATACATTTATAACGCATACAGTATGCATTTTTTAAAATAAATGCTGTTTGGATACGAGTACAAAGCAGATTTTTTGCTTTCTGACAATCAGAATCAATTGGTTCTGATCAAGTTTTCTGATCAAGTTTTTCCTATTGCTTTAACACATGTCTACTTGTCGGAGCCAATTGTCAGAAAGCAGAAAATTTGCTTTGTTTGTGCTCGTAATTTTATAGTATATTGTCTTCACTTACCATAAAGGTACATCTGTAATAAGTTCAATCAATGCTTCAATAAAATATGCTAATCTATAAGAAGGAAGTGCATCATTTGCTGTTTGTGGTGCTTCAATATGATTTAGCATTTGTTCTTCACCAACAATCTCAATGAGGTATTTTAAAATACATCTTACAGCAAACAATGCATTGTATGTTTGCCATGCCGATATTATACTGTAAATAAATCATACACAATTCTAGACATAAAATAAAAATGTTTTAAATTCATTTAACATCGCAATTCATTATGCTGTATCAACGAAGCCGATGCATGCTTACTTTTGATTCTGTACAGGTGCTAGTAATTCATTGATGCGTATCAAAGCTATTTGTATTAGAGTACCAAAATTGCCAGTAATCAAATTATTAACAAGTAATTGTTGACACGATGAATCCAAACGAGAATCCAATTCTATCTGATCATTCCTCGTAATAGGTGGTCGTATATTATAAGATAGAAATGTACTCCAAAATGGATCATTCGTGGGTATGCTTTGTCTCCCACAGAATCTTCCCAGGTGCACATTCTTGGAGAGATCTTCATAGCGACTCGGTGTTGCACCCATTGCCCTTAATCTTCTAAAAATGAAAAAATGGAAGCTTCTAAAAATGCAAAGCTCTCGATATTCAATAAGAGAATCTAAGTCTGTTCCTTTTAGCTGAAATTTTGCACAGTTTATCTCTTCTATATTGTTCTCCGATACAAAAAGAAAAGATGAATATTGTGCAAGATCAGCTAAAAAAACAGATCACTATTACTCATATTATATACATATATATATCAATTCATTTTTTATTTATGATCATATATAAACTGACAATAATATTGTATTAAGTAATATCGATCAATTGATTTTCTACCGACTTAAAAATACTGTTTACACCGTTGGCGGCGATGTAAATACGAAAATTGCTTTTTTGTGAGAATGACACAATCGAAAGTAGGTACACTGACAGTTCAGGTCGACGACTCAGGGTACGAACAAATCAATACATCATGAATGTTCTAATATTCGTTGACGTGTGTATAATCATGCTTCGATATTGTAGCTTATATTACGATAACGAAACATTATTTCGCGTAAGCGTGTGAACGCCGCGGTGAATCAGGAGAGCTAATAACCTCTCAAAGTCGCTCAATGCATTGAGAACGGATCGGTCAATTCGTTACTTCGACAGTATAAATGGTGTTTCGTAATCGCAACCTCTTGTCACTGTGAACGACACGTCCCACGCGTCAAAACAAAACGCACTTACAAAATTACTGGTCAGTTGACTCGTACATAATGAATAGGTAGAGAAAAGTTCCACATCCACACTGGCAAAGTGTTGCTAGCGGTGTAGCTTTTTCTAGCGCATGCGATATTTCGCTAATTCAGCTGCGAATCCAGCGATGGAGAAATTATGAGGGGCGCCAGATTAGAGAGATTAGATTAAAAGATACGAGTAACTTAAAAAAAAATATATATATATAATAAAATGGAATAACAAAAAAGACGTTTAGACGATATAAATATATATTTGAATATTTTATTAATTTTCAAACAATTTTTAGAAACATGTAGGACTCCTTGTATTTAGATCTGTTCGCGTTGCTTGCACTTTTTGCACTCAGTATCTTGATTTTTTTTCTTTTCAACGTCCGAATATAATTTATCTTCTTTTAAGAGCAAACTTTTTGGAGATTTCGAATAATGCAAACAAATTTAGAAGGTACAGGGTGCTTAGAGTGCCCCTTTTATGATGATTTCATACGTTACTTATATGACACGAACGCACATGCATGATAAAAAGAGATATCGCTAGCAACGTCAGTCAGATCAAACATCAACCGTTGATAAAGTCGGTCACCGTCGTTCTGAATCTGCCATATTGACTAATAAAAACGCGCGAATATCTCGTTCAACTAACCGGTCAATTTTAAATTCGTAACAGTTTTCGACTTGCAAAGATTGCGATTCGTGCTGTGAACCGACGACAAATATCTGGTATTTCGACGTATTCGAACGCTCGATTCGGAGAGATTTTTAAAAGACCGCGGCTCTAGATGTATCTGGCGGAGAGTTTTTCCAAACGCGTAGTGCGGTCGTTCGTCGGTTCGGCCGCCATGACAGTTTCGTCGGCGCTTCGGAAATGTAGTGCGCGCGTTCGCTCCGCGGTCGGTCGTGGATTTTATTCGTTAAAAGTGCACGATGATCGCGAATTGTTATCGGGAGTGTTGACCAGGGTGACGTTCGATCACCAGAACATGTCGGTTATCGCGGATATTCGCAGTAGACGCTGTTTCACCGATCGTAAGTGGAACTCTGTTTCGAACGAGATTCCGTCTTGTAGTTCGGTGAGTATGTGTGTACAAATTTCGATACTGTGGGTATGCGAAAATAGTTTTTACGTCGTCTTCAGGAAATCGAAACGCAATGGACGCACTTTTTTTGTTAGTCGCATCTTTAGTAGCACATCGAGTTCTTGAATCATGATTATATCGCATGTAGATCCTTGACAAAAATAAAAATCGGAGCATAATTCGCGTGTGAAAATACCACATAACTCAGCCCCGATGAAAATAAAAATCGGAGCGTAAATCGGATGTAATGGAAGAGTAACAAGTAATGGAAGCGAAATTTCTAGAAGGCGAAAATTGGAACAATAAAATGTAAAAGAAGCATTTACGTTTTTTTATATTTTGATGTTTTAATTTTCGCTTTCTACAAGTTTTTTACGATTTTGTTACTCTCCCATTACATTCGACTTACGCTCTGATTTTTATTTTTATCAGGGAGTTCTCCAAGAGATGTCTACGTCCTATGGACTTCTCCGAGGAGACGTCTTTCGGAGACGTTTACATTCTTTTTTAACTCGTGTGTATTATTTTATAAATGTATCGTAGTCATTACAATTTTATCATTACACTTTTGATCTACAGGAAAACTACATGCATAAAAGTAGAAAAAGAAAGAAAGAGAATTATTGTGTGGTCAAGAGTTTATAAAATAATGTGCATGAATTAACTGAATTAGTTGATAGTAATAATCATGATTACTTTTTTCTTTGATAATCACAGCTCCTTCTTTCCTGTTTTCTCCTTATATACTATAATAATTATATTATATTATTTATATTATTTTATATAATTATATTATTGTATTAATATTTATATTATAATTCATGTTGTGACTGCTTTACAAAATTTTATGCATGAATAAATTATAAATTGTATAAAATTAGATTATATTATTTATATACGATAGTATATATTATAATCAATAGTATACAATTTATAATTTATTCATGCATAAAATTTTGTAAAGCAGTCACAACATGAATTATAATATAAAAATTAATACAATAATAGTGTGTACATACATATATATATGGTATATGTGTATAATAAAATGTTCTTTTCAGATATTCATTATTTCCTGGACAAAACAGATGTGGAACATTTTTTGGACGGAGGGAGAATTGATAGAATGTAACTGGTGAGTCAAATTGTTTATTTTTTATTGAATTATCTGTAAGAAAGATTGTAAGTAGTAGCATATATATTTACAATTATTTATTTTAAATATTTAATTAAATACTAATAAATATTTATTGAATAAAGAATATTTTATGTATTTACAAAAATATAAGAATATTTATTGAAGTAAAATATTTTACCGCAATAATGACAATAAAGTCAGTTAGACCAGAATCAGACTATGCATTGAAGATTGAGATTGAAGATAAAAAATTGAAATTTCACCAATGAGGACAAAGAAATTCTGGCTCCTCTTGTTCTGATTGGTCAAACCTCAATCTTTCGATCTTCAATCTCATTCTTCAATGCGTAGTCTGATTCCGGCCTTAGACAAATTAATTAGTTAAGAGTCTGTGGCCTTAAGAATGATATAATGTTACTACATTCAGAAATATGAAAATGGAATAAAGGTTAAAGATTGTCATTCTTATTGAAATTAAAAAAAAATTGGTAAAAGTAACAAGTTATTAACTTAGTTATAAGAGATTGAGAGATTAGCATGAGAAAAAGAGAATACATAAATGTCGGCGCCAATCCAAGACGCCAAGGTGCCGAAATTCATCAACTTTGTAATAGGTGGCATGTCGGGGTAAAAAGATTCATATTATATAATTGCCCTTTACAATAAAATTGTTACTTCTTTACTCGACAGGCAAATATCTAAAAAATATTTTGGCATGAAGTTTATGATAATTTTATTCCATTCGACAGAATAATAGCTCAAATCGTGACACATCCTATGGATGTTATTAAGATACGTATGCAAGTGTCGCAGGATTCTTTACGTGTCGCAGTACTCCGTACACTTTGCACGAACGGAATTTGCGGTTTTTATGCAGGGCTGAGTGCAGCTCTTCTTCGTCAATTAACCTATACCACCAGCAGGCTTGGAATTTATACCACATTGCTAGATATCGGGGAGTAATGTCAGTTATTGCATTCAATCGTTGCATTTAAAAATTAATTATAATCCGCGGAATTAAATATTGTGCATATTTGGCATTGAATACCAAATTAGACATTAGACAAATCTATGTTATAAAAATGTCTCATTACAAATTCCTTCTCTTCAGACAACATTTCGGTTATTTAAATTATGTTACGATGATAAGTCTCGGGATGATAGCTGGTGTGATGGGTTCTTTTATCGGTACTCCCACGGATCTAGTATTAAGACGGATCTAGTATTATTTCGCATGGTGGCAGACGTAAATTTGCCACCAGGTACTTATTTCCATTAAAAATTTTTTACCTAAATTTATTTGTCAGAATGATTTAAAATGTAAAGAAAGATGTACTCTTTGTAAATGTATTGCGTACACGGGAATTAATATATTTATATCAGGAGAGCGAAGAAAATATAGGAACGCCGTTAGTGGTATCTTTAACATATGGAAAACCGAAGGACTTTTTGGATTATGGAGAGGAGCGGTACCCACGATGGGTAGAGCAGCGATTGTAAATGGAGCACAATTAGGTACATACACAAGAGCGAAGAAGTTACTGCAAGACACAGGTGATTATAATTTTCAACACTAAGCATATCTGTTTCACAAAAGGGGTACTTTACATAAAGATAATTGTACTCTCTTGATATAAGAAAAAATATTTAAGAATATAAATATGATAGTTAATAAGGGTATAACAGAAGAATTGTAACCAATGATCGATTTTAAATGATTTTATTTAATCCATAATTTTAATGGATTTTTTAAATATGTCAGGATATATTAAAAATGATATACCACTGCAAATTACCGCTGCCATGATGTCTAGTGTAATTACGTGTTCCGCTTCGATTCCGATCGACGCAGCTAAAACTAGGTAAAGCAGCAAGATATCAAAAGCAAAGTTGAGGTCTTAAGATACACATCCTTGTAGGATTCAAAACTGGAGGCAACCTATGAAACCACCTGGTGTTCTGGCTATGATCGTTAATATTGCTAAAAAGGAAGGTGTAATGTTGTTATGGCGCGGTTTTCTTCCATATTATTCCAGAGCAGCGCCCAATACGGTAATTACCATGGTATGCGTTGATCAACTTCATCAAATGTACTCGAAATTTTGCTCGATATCGTAATAAAATTTACCAATGTCAGTGTTAATTAGTTTCCTTTAATCGCACACTATGATATAGTTGGAATAAAATCTGAGATTAAGGTGTTGCAACCATAATTAAATCAGTAAGAATGTTATTTAAAAAAGTATGAAAGTTTTTTTCTGAAATTTTATTATATGTGATATTAAAACACGCAATTTTTTATTCGGATAATTTTATTATTTATTGACATATATTCTATATAAACGCATTAGTTGCTCGTTGATAACGAGAGTTAGTACCGTGTGCGGACCGATCCTGCAATAAGTTGGCCAAAAACCTTTCCAAAGAGTCCCTATTCCTTCATTTTTCGCTATTGACATCATAACTGAGATCATACCTGGAGGTTTCTCAATGCTCTTTATGTTTTGTATTCTATGGAACAGTGAAAATTTTATTAAATTTGTTCAAAGACTAGTTTTTTCAAGAAGTAAAGTATTAAAATTGTTGATAACCTAGTCTTGGTAATGTCAAAAGGCATAGAGTTAAAAGCAGTGATAAATCCCGATATCATTGACGCACCAAAGTGCAAGCCTATGCCTTCTTTAACATTCACTGTAAAAAGAATAATTTTTTTTTAATAAAAAGATTCAAAAGATGTAGATAGAAAAATATTATTGAATTTGATAAATAAAGTATTATAGATTTTAATTATATTTTTATATTTTCGAAAATTAACGAATGTTTTTGATTTATATTTAAGAAATCGCGAATCATTGAAATAAATTTTAAAAAGTAATATAGAAAACTGTTTAGCTATACATCGTGACGCAATCAAATGCTTCACTTGGCTGTAAGTAGCCAATTGCGATACGTTAACGACAACAGCTCTTCCTATCGTGGCCACACTTCCTCTCCAAAGAGTGAATATTCCTTCTTCTCTAGCAATTCTAATAAAAGCGTCAAGCACGTTCTTGTAATTTCTTCGCTGTTCTAAGCAGAGAGAACATTAGCTAAATTAGCTACATTTATTCCAACAAATGTTTCTTTTGACATTGATGAAAGTCAATGCACTAATTAGCTTGTACAAAAATTTATCATTACCCACTGGTAATCTGCCATCTGTTGTCATTCTCACGAGAGCTACGTCGGCTGGTGTTCCAACGAAAGCCCCCACGGCACCAGCAGTCCCAGCCATAAATGCCAGAACCGCGAAATTGGGACGACCGATGTATCTTTGTCTAAAATGCAATCAGTTTTTTTTTAATTCTGACGACTTTAATTACTTCAATTATTTGATTATTTAAGGGATAAAACTGAGTTGTTATGAAAACGTTTAAGAGACATCCTGATTTCATTCCAATTTTATTCTTTCTTCTAAGATTTATATTGTCTGGAAATATTCTGGACCCCTCTTTTGAAAATTTATTGTAGCCGCTGCTGTCAGATTACCTCCAAAAATCTTGCATCTGATTATAAATCCCGAGTCGCACAGTCGTGTAAGTTGCTTGTCTGACAAGACCGGCTGTTAAACCGCTGTAAAATGTAGTAATGCCCTCTTTGCTATATATGGTGCTAATTACATTCAAGATCGATGCTTTCCCTTTATGCACTTGCATCCTATTTTTGATCACGTCCATCGGGTGAACCACGCAAGTACCTGCCATTCTAAGATACAAACGAATATTTGAAACACTCTATTTTAATTCAACATTTCGTAAAAAAATTACCCGGAAAGACCACCCAGTAAAAAATTAATTATTGGCGGTATAGGTTGCTTTTTCTTTTCCTTCGGTTCTTCTTTTTTCGACATTTTTAATACCTTAAATTGACGAAATAAATTCTTATAAACAAGTTGAATAAATAAATAGCTTCTATTTCTCACAATGGTATAAAATACTTTTAAAGCCTTTCAAGTCGAAACATATGTGCCATGTCATTGTCAAATTTTATCAATATTAACCTATTGCACGTTAAAATAAAACGCAACCGGCAACGCTTCACAGCACGACGGTAAAATATCGATTTTTATAAATGATTTATAAAAAGTGATGGGGAATAAAGTGCCAACTTTTCTTCGTTGCTTGTTAATTATTATTTGCATTTATTACTTTATTTAGATTTTAAGTGAATAAATAAAGGAAATAAAAAGATATTTGATCTGGCTCAGTTTCACAACTCATGGTTAACTCTTAATCGAGGTTCAACTTATTCATTATCTCTTTCCAATTTTAGAATTGGAAAGAGATAAGAAACAAGTTAGACCTCGGTTAATAGTTAACCGTGAGTTGTGAAACTGGGCCCTGTTTTCTGTTCCTGTACTAAACTTTCTTTAGGCATGTTCTGATTCTCACCTGGATGACTCCTTGGATATCACGTCATCCTTATTTAATGTTCAATAAACAACAAGGCTGACATGACATCCGGGGAGCAGGTGGGAATCCAAACATGTCCTTTCTCGCTTTTGATAAATATTAAACATACACCTATCTCACTTTAAGTTTCAAAAGTGTACACTATTTCAGCCACAGAAAACAGATCTATGATAATAAATTGCTTGTCATTTTAAAATCGATTTATTCTGGTATAGAATTTGATACATTGTGTATTGCTTATGAGAGAAATAATATTTTATAATTATAATTATTTGCATGAGACATTAATTCGTATTAAATACATGTTATATTTATTGAAATGATGTTATATGGCGATATGTCCATATTAATTTGTGTATTCTGTTAATTGAACGCACACGTGATACGAACATGTGTTCTGGAGAAACCTGCTTTAGACAACTTATTTAATGCTTTGAGAAAGGACTGAAAGAAATATAATGTTTTGACGTATAACGAGTGTTCGCTACAGTAAGCAATCGTGAGAATGCTCCAACTTTCACAACTTAGTGAATTCTTTGTTCATAAATTGCTGGTAAATGTCATCTTGACGTGGACAACTTTGTTTCTACCGATTTTTGCGTGAGTCGAAAAGTGTGAAACTTGACGGTGTGATGCGAAAATGACTCGGGTGACATCTTGAATTATTGGACGGATGTGTGGTAATTGCGGTCGGGCGATTTACAAATTAACGCTGTTTATTGCAAACAGCAGTTACTGTAAATAATATATTTGATCTGCCGCAACAGGTTTCGGGCAATTGCAGCGGCGCCGAGCTCTGTATTTTCTCTTCGGCCGCTCTTCTTCTTTGATGATTGACTCTTCGAGTTTTTTCTTTGGAGCTAACCCCATTTCTTTTTTAATGTCCTACAAACAGGGAAATGAGTTTTTAAAATTATTTATGATTTTATTATTCTCAAATTTTCATACTACTAGTGTTTAAATGTACCTCTATGGCTTTGACGATTGGATAAAGCGGTCTTACGCCCTTCGATTCTTCTAAAACTTCGTCGCTATAAAGTAGAATCCTTTGGTTAGCTTTATCAATTGCGGCTTTTGTCGCTTCAACTTCGAGAACTTCTTTTTCGCGATCTTTGTCCATTTGTTTCTCTTCCTGATGATTAATATCAAATTACCTATTTTATCAATGTATTTTATATTGCGATACTTATACAATATAAGGAAAAGAAAAATATGCAAAGTTCCTATTTTAAATAAATAATATACTTTGTGTAAAAATTATTTTAAACGTAACGTGCATTTACACGTAACAGTGGCCAGTGCCCATTGCAAATAGAATCTACGTAAAAAGAAATAATAAAAAAATTATTATTCTCGATAAATGTTTACATCTGATTATTATAAAATTTATATTAAAGAAATATATTCTTACGATATCTTTTTGTAATTCATTGCCATATTCTAGTTTTTGTTGCCATTGTTGTTTGCGTTCTTCCAAGTCGGTCTGTTTGTCATACTCGTCTCTTTTAAATCTCTGCATCATCTCCCAAGCTCTCAACTCCTTCTCCTCTTGTCTTTGCTTAGTCTTTATTGCCGTGTCATGAAGCCTGTATTCTTCCATGAGAGCGCGCATCTTCTCTTCTCGTTCCTTTTGTGCTTTTCGCTTTTCCACCTCGACTACTTTTTTCTCTTCAACTGCTTTTTCCAAGATTTCTCGCTCTTTAGCATCACGAATTTCCTCGGTTGAAACATATTGCTCCTCTAAAACAAGATTCGTTAATAGATGATCCATTTTGGTCGTTTGAATTCTGCATATACAATTTATGTTTCTGAAAGCATCGTACCTATAATCTGCATCTGACGCGCTTTTTCTTCCTTCTTCTTTAACGCTAATGATTTTTGAATTTTCTGTATTCGATCTTTAGCTTCCCTACAAACTTCTAACGCTCGATCCTCTAATTCTTCATTGTGCTGTAATTCCAGTTCAATTCGTTTTTTTTCTTCTATCGCTTCCTTGAAAAATCGCTGTAGTCTCTTCTTTTTGTTCAATATCTATATAAATGCAGAGAATATACGTTAAAACCTTTTGGAGTAAAAAATATTGTTTAGCAATTATCGGGTGCTTACATCTTGCATCTCTTTCTTTTTCATGAGTTGCGTATCTTGGGTCATGTTTATTTGATCCTGTTTTTCAGCTTCTAATTCTTCTGTTACTTTTAATTTATTGTCTCTTTCGTTCTCTTCGATTCTGATACATAATTAATCTGATAATACATGTAGCAGTATAATGAAAAAATAAATATATATTTCTTTGGCTTTGATACTAATAATACATTTATTCAATTTGTATTATCTAATATTAATATCTATCGAATTTGTACTAAAATATTAATATTCTTACAAAGATTTAGAATTATACTCTTACGTTTTAAAAAATTAAATTTCTATTAAAATTAATGTTTACTGTTTTTTTAAAGCAATCCTGTAATTCTTTGTTTTTTTCGTTCGTTCCTCCACCTCTTGTTTCTTCTGCTCCTTGTATTTTGCGATGTCTGTTTTAATGGAATTAGCATATTTTTCATCTTGTTCTTTGTCCATTGCTCTAATAGTCTTTTGCAACGCCACTTGAGCGTCCAGCTCCCTGAGACACTAATATAAATCATGGTAAACTATTTTGAGTTTAATTAACGGTGAGTCTGGCTTAGAAATTACGTGAAGACTCCTTTCGTGAGAAAGTACCTCGGAGACGAGAAGAGCACGATTAATCTGTCGGCACAAAGGCCTCTTTTGCTGAAGCAATCTCCTTGCTTGCTGCACCACTTCTGCACGCTCCGCCACCTTTTTCTCTGTCATTTCCTTCACGAACGCTTTCCTCTTTTCTTCAGCTTTTTGCTTCTTTGACAATAATTCTTCTCTTTGTCTCGCCTTAATATTCTATTATCAAACCATTTTTATTTTAACAATATTATCAATCGCTGCGATACAAAGTAAAATTATAAATAAATTTTTTAAAACTTTCGCAAATGTTTTGTTTAAAAATTTACTTTTACTTTCGAAATATTTTATAGTACATGTTGATTGCGAAGATTTAAAATATACTTTTATTTCTTGCATTAAAAAAGTAATATATACAATTTCAAAATTTAGAAGTAAAATATTCTTTGTATTTAATCGTAATAATTTTGAATCGAGAATAGGTCAAGCATACTTCTATTGTGCTGTCCCATGTTTTACTTTTTTCATAAGTCGCTTTTTTCAACGCTGCTATTTTTGCAGCTTCCTTTTCTTGCTGTGCTGCTATTCTATCCTCTTCTGTAGTATAATCCACAAAACGCTGAAAGGTGTCTTTCGCTACTACTAACGCTCGAGTTTTTTCAGACCCCTGTGAAAGCGCGGTTAAATTTTCAGTAATATTAGACACAGGAGAAATTCAGTCTTTATGAACTCAACGTGTTTGAGAGTGAGAATAAATAAAAACACTTACTTTGGTATTCTTGAGCGTCTGGCCGGGTTTCAAGAGATACGTCGTGCGCATTTCCGGTTGATGTAGTCTTTTCCGCACCATTTTAGAAAGGCAAAATTATAATTAATCGGCACAAAGCAAAGTTGTTCAGTATAAGTAGCTTGAATTTCTGCCGAAAAGCTGCTGAATACAGGCTATCTTCACACAGCACGAATGGTTGACATAGAAACCAAATAAAAGCGATCGATGCGGCTTAAAAGAACCGAATAAAATCTATTACTTAAAATCAATACTTCTAGTAACTATGTGTATGAAAAATGACATTTTTTTCATATCACTATTTAATATATTCTAGAAATAGAATCACTAGCATAATTCATTCATATTTATTACTTACGAAAAAATTCAAACTGACTATATACAGTAACTGTTTACAAATCTAAGTAATCTAATTAATTAATTTAATTACAATTCTTATATTTACTTATTCTTATATTTTTACTTGAACCCTTTTATACATTTATGCCTAGAATAAGAAATTAATAAATAATAATATATTATCATATCTTTTAGATATTTTATGAACTTTATAGTTGCTTTCCATTTACATTAAAACTTAAATAATTTTCATTTGTGACGTCATAATTTAGTTGGACGTATATATTCCTTTTCATTCTGACAAGTGAGATTCAACTGACAATAAGTTTTTATCTATAAGTTCAAGATTGTGTGCTTTACTCAAAGTGAGTAACTCATATTAAAGGTGCGTTCTATTTGGCGTTCACAGCGTTTATGAGCATCACTTCTCTTAGTTTAACATTTGATAAACAAGGATGAAATAATTCTAAGAACGCTATAAACAGCACGTGGAACACGTCAGGCTTTAAATGAAGTTATAAACCTGTGTTGTTATATGATAACGTTAACAAAGTAAACAAGTAATGACGTCATTATCTGATCGTGAGTATAAAATATTGCGTGAAAATGGAAAGCAATTTATGTCTCTATGTATTTGTATATTATTTCTATTTATCTTCATATGTCGAAAATAATACGTATGTATTTATTAGCGATAATGATGTAGATAACGTTGCCATGATAATGCATAACATAAAGTATATTTACCTTATTGATTCCTTGAAATCTTGACTGTATCCAATACCGATCTCAGATTTTTCTAAGGTTTGATTTCACCAATGTAAGATTAACTTTAATCTTGGTTCAATTTACTCTTTATCTTCTTTTAATTCTAAGATTTCTAATTCTAAGAATTAGAAAAAGATAAAGAGTAAATCGAATTACTGAACCGAGAAAGTTAATACATCTTACATTAGTGGATCCAGGCCTCTATTTCTATCAGTGTAGATTAATTTTGGTCTCAGTTTAATTTATTCTTTACCTTCTTTTTAATTCTAGAGCTAGAAAAAGATGAATTAGTTAAACCGATATTAAAATTGAACTACACTGGGGCTCGTTTCTACACTGAGAAAAAAATATAGTCAATTTTAATAAATATTTAGTTCAATATATATATACTGCCAACTAAATATTTACTTACAGTAAATAAATATTTGTTTAGTAAAAAAAATAATTGTTAAATCAAATTAACATTTCTTGTATCAAATAAATACATCTTTATATTTAATAAATATTTAGTTGGCATGTGTGTATATATATATATATTATATATTATTCAACTAAATATTTATTAAAATTGACTATATTTTTTTTCAGTGTACTAATGTAGATTAACTTTAATCTGTTCAACTTACTCTTGATCTTTTTTTAGTTCTAAGAATTAGAAAAAAATGAGAAGTAAATTGAACCGAGATTAAATCTACAATACATTGATAGAAATGAGCCTGAGAAACAGGCAAAAGTCGTCTCGCGAATTCCAGTCATTTATCATCCGAGCGAATCGTCGTTCGCTACGATACCGACATTACCGACGTCGCGTCGCGTAACGTTTCCTAAACTTGCCGCAAGATGACGGCGAAGCGTGATCGTGCACCTGTGGTGACAGCACGTGCTACAGCTGAGTGGCGGTTCGGGTATCGGGAAAGTGAGTATAATATCGTAGTGGTCGAGTGTTTTTTCCGCTTTTCCCCGTGCGGCTGCGGTATCATCGACGCCGACGGTGTTCCCGAGGGACGTCTGGGGTACGTTCGAACGCATACATACCGGCAAGTTTGCGTCGCGATGCGAAGCTGTTTACGCGACGCCGACACGTGAGTCGGAGCCGATACTTCGGCCGTAACGTAAATCCCTCAGGATCGGTGCGTGACCTTGGCTGCATATTCCCGTGATAACGGACGCCAAGGGATCGCGCTGAGACGCGTTCCGCGCGTAAACGTTTCGGCGGGAGTTCCGGCGCGCGCGAATTCGCGAATTAATGGCGGCGATCGAGTGTCGGTCCGACACTGTCGGACGTGCATTCGTTCCCGGCGACGCTAACCTAAATCGCGTATGGTGATAATCCGTCTCGAAGCGACTGGAACATCGGTTACTCGCCGGGTAGTAACGGCGACGCGACGTGGCCACCGTCGACGTGGAAGAGCTAGTGATCCCGTTTTCTGAAATTCGGAATTTCGAGCGGGATTAGCGCGATAAGTTTTCACCCGATCGCGTCGTGTATCGTTGGGAATCGCCGCGGCGATTCCCGCTTCGCCACTCGATCAGTTTGTTTTGCTTCGCGCGGCCCGCTTCCGGGATACGCGCGCGAATTTTGGCGCGCGCGCGCAATGGCGTGTGGACGTGCGGAGGTCGTTGCGCCAGGTGATGGGGCGAAATCGATAAAATATCGACGGTGGAATCGCGTCGGGTTGCACTCGAGTCGCGTCAAAAGGAATCGATAAAGTGTTCAAAACCTTGGCGCCTTCGTAAAATGTATGGCATCCAGTAGTTCGCAGACACGTATGGAAAGGTCGAGTTGGTTGAGAAAGAGTGCAATTGCATGTTACGTTATCAGGCCGAATCACACAAGTTCGAGGCTTCTGTTGATACGAGTGGGATTGATCGCCGTATCGCACGGAAGTTTTGAATACCATGATTGGATTTCAGACTCCGAATCGCGATTGCGGCCCGATTTAAATGGATAGTTTCATATGCGAGAGAAAAGTTCGTTTAAATTAAAGTTTATTGTGTATACTAAAAAAAATTGATGTTATATTGACAGCCTTGTTTTAAAATAATTTTATTAATTTAATATTTATGTTCCATTATATTAATGGAACAAATACATCGTACTCTTGTTTTAATAAAATTGTATTTGTTTCATTAATAATGCCATTAATGAAGGTGTTTTTAATTAGAATATTGATATAACATATTTTTTTAGTATAAGTAATTCGAACAGAAATATTTTTACGTGAGTTATTTTATATGATATTTTGAAATTTGCGCGGGATATCTTCCTCTAAAAAATCGTTAAAAATTTATATCTTTTATTACTTGACTAATTTATATGAACAATCATACATTTTATTACTGTTTTTGTATGGAAATAATTTAACGTAAATTTATGTATAATCAATATATTTGGTATCACTTTCGACGTAATTATTTTAAATATTTGTTTAGTTACTTTTATGAAAACATGACAGTATCTACAAATTAATTAATGCAACATGCTGCGCGATTATTTTCCATGTCTGCGACCAGATTTAACTTTTTACGGTATTATAAACTTGTCTTTGTATACAAATTTCGAGGGCCGATAACGATAAATTTTAAATGTCGCGAGACGCTTAGTAGAGCGTGCCGCGAAACAATAGACTACATTCGATCCGATTAACCCTTTCGCACCGGAAAACTATTTATATCGTAGTGTCGCCACGTGGCGCGCCAAAGTGAGGTCAATAGAATTAATTAGATACAAATCCAAGTGATATCGAGAAAATGAGGCGTGGGCAATGTCGCATCTTCGCATTCGGCGCGTTTTCGCTTCGATTGTAACGCATTGAGAAATTAAAAAATATACATATCGTAGAGGACAATATTTTTTTCGAAAAATCGTCAAGATTGTGCTTGATCACATTATGCTTGATGGTAAAAAATTAAATAATACGAGACTTCTGTGTGGCGCTCAAATATTTGCACCAAATTATGTGAACTAGACAAAACACTGTACTCTATAATTTCCAATCTATGTCTTTTATAGCGACAACACTAATACTCTTGATGTGTTTTCAGGTAAAAGTGGTAGGGAAGAAGGAATGAGCTGCAGGGATTCTTGGAAGCTGTATTAGGGTGAGTGCATTCTTAATTAATTTGATTAATCTTGATTTGTAATTTAAATGTTTATTGTTTGTAATGATATGTCTATCTAATCAATTTGTAAGAAATATTATATATTTAATATATGATTTAAATTCACTAATGATATCTAGTGTGTGGCGAATGCTCAAACCTTTTTTAATTATTTGTAATTTAATTTTCTCTGAAATACCTGTTTTTAAATCGAGTATTTTTAATACTTTCTTAATTTGTAATTTAATTCTCTCTGGAATATCGATATTCAAATCAAGTATTCTCAAGAGCATACATATTTTTTTTTACATTTTATCTAAAGATTTATTTAGCCAATTAACGAATCGATGATAAAAATGTTTTTTTTGTTTTTTAATATAAAGTGTAAAATCTTGAAACTTAATGACTCTCGCATTTTAACAAGCCAAAGTAATGTTTTAAATATTTTCATAATATGTAATAAATTTAAATTTAAATTAACAGTATAATTTTGTTTTATGTTACGTATATTAATAGAAAATTGACACGCTATTCGTAAAAAAGGAATAGATAACTCTGTATTATCTCTAGAAATTTAAAGATCTTAAAACTTATGTTAATCTATACATATATTATCGGGTGGGTTGCACAAAATCACTTAAGTATGTATTGCTGATATGAAACATGTTTATTAAAAATCTATCATCTCTACGCCTACTACAGTAAATATCACAGGTACACGTTTTTCTATCACAAGATCTTCCGCTCGGTCATTTTTATACATATATTTGCGCCACGCGAGATACTAAATGGACGCGCGTTTTGCGGAATCATCGTAATCGCCGCCTCGTAAGGTCATTCGTTATCGTCCCACATTTGATGCTCTTGACCGGTAGTGAGACTTGTATAATAACATTACGGCGAGAAAATAAAAAGAAAAAAACATCCTCGATAAAAGTATGAAATAAACAATAGAAAACATCTAACTGTCGAGTAAATTAAAGCTTCAGCCGCGTGCGGCCGCGAATAAAACTACGTATCGAGATCCCAGTGTTGTCCGACTCTTGCGGAACGTTATCGAAATTGTTGGTGGCAGAACGTCATTGGAGACATGACGTTCGCCTTGGTACTTCCGTTTCGGTCCGACTGCCTTTGAGCAAGTGAAACTCCCCTTAAGTCTAGGTGATCTTTGTAGGGGTAGACTTTTCGCTCTTTCCTCCTTGCGATGTCCGTTCCGTTCAGATCACAGAGAAATTGCAACACCGGCGTCGATAGTTTGTGAATCCTTCGGATTCGAGATCTTTTTTTCGCCGGTTTACTCGGAAACTTCGGCGAGTTTGCCGTGTCAAGGCGGAAGTTTACCAGGGCCGCCAGATAGGTTCGTTCGGCTTAGCCACCTGCAGGAGACCCTGATGGCTCTGGGAGACGGCATCGATGTCGGTTCGCACCGGGGATGGTTGGCTGGACGCTGGCGTCAACGGCATCGGATACTCGTCGGCGCTGAGTTCGCTGGTGGGTGATGGCGAGGACTGTGGCGCGGTCACGTGGATGGTCAACGGACCGGTCTTGTCCATGGAGTTGAGCTTGTGTCCGAGATGTGTCATCAGCTTGGTACCAAGGGCAACGTCAACGCCAGGAGTGGCCGCTAAGCAGCGACTGACTTCGTTCGCACAGTGCGTGTAGCCGGCACGGAAACGGTCTGCGTCGATCACTGGATTCGCCGAGAGACGTTGTTGACGTTGGAGCTTGTGCAAGTGACGCACCGTCAATTCCAGAATATCTGCCTTCTCCAACTTCGCTACGTTCTCACCGTCGCCGGCCAGCGCGGTCACCATCAGATCCTTCAACTCGTCCAAGCAGCGATTGATACGCGCTCGACGTTTGCGTTCCAACATCGGTTTCATCACCTGCGAATCGAAACGAACGAATCGCTATAGATCAATGTCGCACTCGACGTTTAGAGAAAAACTTTTTGAGAATCTTTTGTTTTGTGAAAGAATAATGTCAAAAATCAATTCGAATTTATTGTTAAAGGAAATAACAAAGTTACAAGTTAACTTAAAGTTCACGTGACGATTAGAGCGATTGTTTGATTGAAATGTCAAGATGATGACACCTACCTTTCGATACTGATATGTCCTGGAGATCGGCTGTTCCTGCCCATCGGCTATGATGATCTGCTCGTGCATCTGCATGATTAATCCTTTTTTTCTTGCGGCACAATCAAAACTTCACTTGATAACTGTATATTGGCTTATCGCGAACGCGACCTTCTCGTGCTATCACACCGGTTCGTCGAACTCTAATCGTCGCTACGATTACGAGTCACTGCGGTTGGCGGAAGGAAATGTGCGTGTATCTGGATAACACGTTGGTCTCCAGCTCGACCTTTGAGTGAACACGAACAGAGCGTGATTGTAGCCGTGATCGGGCGAGGCTTCGACTTATATAGGCAAGGGCCCCCATGTGGACGGAGTGAGGGGACGGGTATGGGACCGCGTAGTGGGGGACAGGCCTTCCGTGGGAACGGTCCGTAGAGGTTGGTTCCCAAGCAAGCACACCACCTGTAAGCGGCAGCTGCCAGACACGCGCCCACACCAAGCCATCGTCACCGTTCCTGCGTCCTTGTTGCACCTATAGCCGTGGCGCGGAGTCGATGCTCTCTACCTCGGCTGATCGTCGACGAGTGGTCGTGCCATGGTATGCGCGGTTCGTAATCGTCGTTCTCCTTCTTTCTCTTTCTATCCATCTATCTTTCGCTCCTCTCTCGTTCTCTCCACCGTTCTGCCCTGTCTGTTTCTCTCTATCGCTCATTGGCGCGTATTTCTACGAGCGCTCATACGGAAGGACTAGATCTCGACCAACGTCCTCCTCCTCCTCCTCCTCCTCCTACTTGCTTCAGGGTAAAATAGAGGAGCCATCTTTGTCCCACCTGTAAGGTGTAGCTTCTTCCATCGCAGCCGCAGCTTCCATGCTCGTGCTGGATCTTTCTTATCGTGATTCCGCGTCTCCCTCTTCCTCGTAGTTTCTTTTCTCTCTGTCCCTCCTCGCTTCTGGTTCTCCCGCTTCGGCCGATCGAGGAGCGTGCTGGGCACAAGTCCGGCGCAACTCCGGCGCGTGATTACAATCCCACTGGCTACACGATGTTAAATCGTGTGCCGTGTGTCTCTCTCTCTATGTGTGTACGTGTGCATATTCCATAGCCATCCGATCCGGTCAACGCCGCGGAATGATATCGCGGCCATCGGTGGCGCGATTGATCGATCGTTTTACGCGTATTAACGCAGAGGGGAAAGGGAAATCGCGGACGAGCTCGATAAAGCTCGTTGGTGTCAAGCGGTATGACAAATCGATCGTTACAGACTTGGTCGTGTAACAGAGCGAGACGCGATTAATTAATCTTGCTCCATCGCCGATTTTCTGTTTTCGTTTCCGAGTAGCACGCGCGTTCCGCATCGACGAGTGAATGGGATTCGAAGAACGAATTAGATCTTTAATAATCCGTTTGTTACGCTTTATTTTACCGATTATTAGGAGCATAATAGTAATTATTTCCCGGTTGGGAAATAATTATTTTTATGCTCCTTGTTCTACGACATTAATTTTTTTAATTGATGCAAAGATTGCTATTTTTAAATTGACTTTTGATCTAAAAGAGTTCTAACATTCATCTGTTGTTAATATAATATGACAATGTTGCGTTTATTGCTAGATTCAATTCGCTATCGCAGTTTTTTAGGGATTAATATAAAGTAATTATACGAAGAACGTCCATTTAAATAAAAATTAGTAATTTTAACTTTATTGTGTCTACTATGAAAGTGATTGATATCTCAAGTTCAGACAATCACAAAGTACATAATTTTAGCAACGAAACAAGAGAATTACAACTCCAAGTTCGAACGTAAAAAATCAAGTCTCTTTGCTTTCGCTTCGAAACTTTATTGTTATTACGCTGTCCGTGAATTTCTCAGGCAGTGAAGCGTACCGCGGTATTTCACTGAGGCCTCGATTACGCGTAATTATCGGGTACATGGATAATAATTACAAAGAGTTAAGGAGCAAAAAGTCAACCACGCTCGGATATTCAAAACGTTACTCTCACTCAACAACAAGGCGGGAGAAATCCCTTCATTCGTGCTATCCGTGTAATCTATCGTCGACGATGAAAATCGGCCGAAAAAGTGAACTTTCTTAACCCCTTCAGATCTGATTTTAATGGAATCATGGAGACAATTTTTTTTTTTTTTTAAGTTTAATTCAAGGCGCTTTAATAAATAATTTATATACTAAAAAATTAATTCTTTTCAAATATTTAAGATATATATATATATAATATATATATATATATACTTCTCTTGCAAAGAAAAATTAAAAAAAAATCGGCCAGAAAGCAATACTAACAATAAGTATAATACAAAAAAGTTTTTCATTAATTAATTTACTTTACTGACATAATCAGTAACATAATCATTTTTTTTTTAATTTTGACTTTATTTTCCAACATTTATTATGTACATTTGATCTCAGATAATGTCGATAGAACTAAATAATTTCAACGGATAATATCTTCAAATTTAATGTACATCACAATGTACACAGACTCTGAAGAGATTAATTTTGCGAGAATGCTCATAAAATTCGTCCTCCAGCGTTGGATCATCGAAACAAGTATTTTGGACGCGCGCGCGAGGACACGTTTCCACTTTGAGATACTAATTTCGGCAAGCCACTGGCTAAATTATATCCTATGCGACCCTTTTTCTGCTCCTCCTATTCCTCTTCCTCCTGTTTTTACTGTGCCTTGTGTTCGCTCCTTTTCTTCGCCCTTCGTCCGCTCGTTTTTCCTCTACATTCTCCATCTTCCTATTCTCGACCAGCCACTTCGCTTATTTCGCGGTCGGAGCTCGGATACTTAAACGTCGTTCGCACCGAATAATTACGCACGCTCGTTTCGAACTTCTCTTGCCTTCACCTCATGTTCCTGCGACCCAAGCAGTCTCTCCTTTTCTACCTTGTCC